ATCCATAGATGCAGAAAGATCGGAGAAGGCCTAAAACATTGTTCTGACAGGCCACGCTATCGACTGAAACGCAACCGAAACAATGGTCCTATGAATAGAACAAAGAAAAAAGTCGAAGATCGGGGTAGCCGTGGACATCGTCCTTCAAAGTAACCTAATGAACAGGGGGTTGGCAGAGGGAAGAGTCAACTAGGGCTTTGGTTGATGCTACCTTCATTGATAATATCAACTAATATACTGTCAGAACGTCTGAGGATGTACCCAGCAGACATTTTGCTTCAAAAAGGAAATTCGGATATAAGTTTGGTCTTGAGTAGATAGATATGGCTTAAATACTTTTAATGAAGAGGTGATTCCATACCCAGACAGGCTATAGCCCAACCAACCTTGTCAAAAGCAAATAAACGAAGGGTATCGGGTTTTCATTTAGTCGTTTCCATCGGGAATACTCACATCATTTTAAGTGGAAATATCAGTCAAGTAAATGCTGCTGAGCTCAATTCCATTTAGAGTGAAAGCGTATGCGTGGCGGTGAAACACACCAAAAGGCGCTAGCAGATTCGTTTTGGCCAGATTTAGGTTGGTTTTACTGAAACATTCTTGCTGACGTTGGCTCAGGCAATTTTTTCCGATTCAGGTGAAAACATACCAAGCTTTCGTTTCTCATATTATTAACATTTAAAATCAGGGTACTCTTATTATAACCATATTCAAGTACTAAAGTTAGGAGATAAGCCGTAAAAGAGAAGTTCGCAATCTCTTCTGGGAGGGATCTTCAGGGAATCTTCTTACCAAGCACTACAATGCGAAATGGAAGTGAGCTCAGCAAACCTACGAAAAAAACATGAATATAATAGGGAAAGAAATCGTTAAAGGTAGGCTCTTCAAAGACTTTCTTTATCTTTGAAAGTGATGCATATGCAAAATTGAAATACTTTTCAGGTAACAAATACTTTTTGAGGCCACCAGGAAATTTTTACTACTTCTGGCATCAGTAAATCAATTTAGAATGCCTGAGTGGGCCTTCTGATCTACCATGGAACCACGTCTAAGCACAGGATACTAAGTAGACGTTGGTCAAAGTCCCATGCTCACAAAGAGTTTTCAAGATCTGCTCAATTCACAGCTGATTATGGAAGTAAAACAAGGGCTCAGAAACCCAAACAAGCCTATATTTAAAGGGAACCGAAATCACGAAAAACATGGTGATAGAGCACTATGGAAATCAGTGATCAAGCCCGTATAAATGCGGACGAACCTTAACGAAATTGCCAGGAAGTTGAGATTCTTCAAGTTAAATATTAAGTGAAATACAGTGGCTGACACCACATAATTCCCAACAGGCTCTAGGGCTCCCCATGTGAAAGATACAAGAGTTCGCGTCGCAATGATTAGGGACACAAAAGAAATCGGAATCTGTTCAAGGAGAGCACTCTCCGAAGGCAGGTTAAGACGAAAAGATTAGGCGTATCCATCAACCGCAACTGGCAGAACGTAGATAGACAAATGGATACGTGAGCCGAGTAGAAGAATGCCGCTATACGCCGCAAATGTGAACTAGCCCACATAGCTCATAAGTGCCCTTACGGAAGGCGTAGGCCAAACTACCAACCAGCCACGACAGGACGTGGCACAAAGGAGCCGGATCTGCCGCAGTTAATCTAGTAATAATACCAATGAGGATGATGCAGTTTTTTCGGTAATTCGCGAAAAAATTTGTATATCCCAAAATGAATGGACGACACGGTAGTCACATTTCGTTTCTCATGTAACAAAATGACTCCAGCTTTGTGATAGACATTAATTTGCAGTTTCTTATTTATACAGATCCGATGGGATCGGAGGCCAGGCAGTACGCATCAATTTGGGGCACACAGCTGTTCGGCCGAACCACCTACGTGCCGGATGGCTCACAACTAGAGAAGCTTGCTGTCACTACTTGAGTAAATACTCTGGGCACTGAGTAAGTTGGTAAAGCAAGTGATAATAACTTGTCGAATGTCTAAAATCTCAGATTCAATTCATTTTTTTCGTGGGCCTTAGGCATCGTAATTTGGCAGATTTATGGGCCCCACGGAAAAGAAGAAAGGAGAGAATTGCCAGACTATACATTGAGGCTTAGGCATTCCCGTACAGTGACCTAGGGGAGTATCCCTCTCCCTCCCAAGATGCAAAAGAAGGGAATAAATCCAAGTGTTGTTCATTGCTTGGCTGACCAAGTTGCTCCGCCCCGATTTTGGAGCAAAATTACCCAAAGCAATATAAGTACATAGTTAATTTATTGAATGCAATTGCATATGTGCCTATATATATATATAAATACTTATAGGCGTAGAAACATGAGTATGTATAAGAATACTATATAATGAAATGTCGAACTGTGCATGCTGTCGCGTTCGAGGGCGACAGAGTCAAAGAGCGATCGGCAAAAGGAGGACTAAAGGAAAATGGAAATAAATATAAAATATACTAATTTGACAGCCTTTTTGTGCTCTATCAAGTGTTACTTAGTGTCGAGAAATCAACGGGTTCACTTATGACACACAAGAACAGATATTTCGATAAGGGGAGAGATAGGGTAAAGGAAGAGGTGCTTCCATCTTGTTTCCGGGTGTAGAGAGTTTCTATGGACAAAAAGATGTATGTGCAATGAGGTGGTGAATGTTATACACGCGAAATACAAGACTCACGAACGAAGCATGTAAAAAAGCCAAGTATGAAACCGAACAGAATAGTGATATCAGCCAAACTTATGCATATGTACCTATGTATAAATGAACTCAGATACTCTGGGTGTATGTAGGTATGATAATGGATGCATGCGTGCTTAAATGTGCGTGTGCAGTGAATGCCGAGTTTGCATTATTTAGCTTATGACAATTGCGAAAGTCGAAAAGCGAGTGATGTCATGATTTGCCAGGATGGATACACATCAGTATTAATTAGAGTACTAACAGCAAGGATGAGTGAATCCCAAATAGACACACAAAAGTCACGACCCCTTTGGTGATTAGTTCTCTATTTGCCAGGCAGATAAAAGTCATATGGCATATGCCATGACAAGATGTGGAATTATGATTCGAGGCCAAAAAAGGCTGGACGATTGACGAAAAGAAGGGATGGTAAGAGTAGATTGTCTCTTTTAGAAAAATGAGTGTACACTTGACCACTACAAGTGGTAGAAGCCGAGTCAATAGAGGCCGCATGGAGGTCAGAGAGGAAGAGTATGAAATCAAGACTTCGAAATGGTCGAAAAAACAAAGTTGAATAGTGCACAAGATCACTTGGCTTCGAAATCGCTTTTCATACAGGCGGACGAGAAGAGGCAAAGGAGCTTCCTTGCTAGCCTGACGTAGAAGAGACGAAAAGTTCAACACGAGTGAACAAGGCTAGTGGGATATCTGAGAAACGCGCCAATCAGAGGCGGAGAAAAGTGGAACAAGTGAGCTCCGATCGCCTGAACTGCGTCACGATGCCGGACACTCTAGCTCTTTTTTCGGGCTCCGTCAGAGCTGGCTTCAATTCGGGGCATCATGTTGGCGGAGTGGGACGTAGGCGAAAAGCCTAATTGTAGGCGGTGTAGAAGAGACTATTGTCCGTCACGATTGGCGGCATCATGCAAACGACCAGATTGCTGTCTTCGTAGGCCTGTCCGGTAGGTGTCTGCTGCTCGTGGGGCCTGGCAACCGGGGGATAGGACAACTGGGCCTCCGGCCAAGAGGATGCCGTGGTGGCCGGATGGAGAGTCGGGTGATGGTAGACAGACTGAGTGCCCGCGGCGACGACGGACTCGACGGAACCCGGTGGGTTGGGGATCAGACCCTCACTCGTGGCGGGCATCGAGGAAGGCAGCTCGTCGAGGATTGACAGCAGTGATGGGCCGGTCCCAGTGGGCGATGGGCCTATTGTAACGGTAGTCAGGGGCATCGAGACCGAAGGAGAAACTGGCACCGAGTTCGAGGCATGCAGGGGCCTGGATGGCGGCTCCCGCAACTGCTGGTGATGTCGTTGTTGAGCCTCTGGTTGCGGTTGCGGTTGCGGTGGCGCTGCTGCCAATGACGACGTGGAGTGGCCATGAAAGGAGCCTGTTGGTTGGAGTAGAGAAGAATGTTCAGAGTTGGCCGATGTTGGTCCCGACTCGACTGCCTCTATCGCCGGTGGGAAGGCCGGCTGTCCCCCGTCGTTCAGGGGCGACGCAACCTGATAGTCGACCCCCCGAACTGGCAAGCTCTGCGAAAATCGGCTCGTGTAGGCGAAACGACCATCACCCTCGGAATAGCAGGTCGGCTGCTCTTCGGTCCAACCCAACGGAGCCGGCGACTCTGGGATCAGATAACAAGCGGACGCAGAGGTCGGATAATATGCGCTGTTCGGCCACTGGACGGAGTTGAGAGGTCGCAGGCAGTTGGCGAAATGCCAGGCCTGATGAGATGTTGGATGCTGCCGTTGCTGGTGAGTGTGCTGATGATGCGGCTGCGAGGGAGTATGATCGTGATGATGAGGATGAGGAACAGGGTCCTGGGGTACGATATGAGGATGGTGCTGGGGCAGATGCTGTACGTGGACGAAGTGAGGAGGATCCGTCAAGAAGGATGCTCTGGAGACCTGCTGGTCCAGTCGATTGAGGACCATTCTTTCTGGAGGCGGCTGCGAAAAGGCCGGCGTCGGGACAGCACAAAAGGCATCGGCTCGACCAGAGTCGGCTGGCTGTACAATGGATTGCGTGCGCTCCTGGTCCGACTGACAGGACATGGGGATGAAATCACGAGGTCGCGCTGTTCTGTGGTAATCCCATGCGGAAGAGGGAGCGCTAGTCCGGCCGGAGCAGGAGCAGGAGCAGGGGCAAGAGTAGGGGGAAGAACAGGAAAAGGAAGATGAAGAAGCCTCTGTGATGGGAGTAGAGTAGGCGGTCTCGTGCCACTCGGAACTTGGCATCGCCGCGCGGTTTGAGCTACTCGGAACGCCCTTGTGGGCAGCATGAGTGGGGATGGGCGCGAATCCGACCGACGGATAGGCGGACGACTGTTGGCCGGTGGAACATCCGGAAATGGAGGCGGCGGGGCGCGAGGCTGGATAGTACTCAGCCGCCGTTTCCGTAGGCACTGGCATCTGCGTCGGCTGACGCATCAGCTGATGCGGTGAGGTGGCGTAGAGACTGGGCAACCGAGAGGACGGAGTGCTTCCGATCGTGGCCACTGTGGGTGTGTTCGGTGTGGCTGGGGTGGCTGGGGTGGCTGGACTCAAGAGCATGCCGGTCTGCGAGGACCGAGGCCTTGTCAGAGCTGGTGTGGTTGGTGTGGCTGGTGTGGTTGGTGTGGTTGGTGTGGGTGCCGCTAAAGAGGGGCCATGGTGACTCGGGAAAGCCTGCGAGTGGGAAAGATAGTTGTGGTTGAACGGTGTCGGAGGGGATGGCTGTAGTCCAACGGAATGCGGAGGATTCGGGTGCGGCGTCCAAAAGCCAGGCCTCTCTCGCATTGTCGGGCATGTCGTCGGGTCGAAGCCGGAGGGGTGGAATTCAGTCGTCCCTGGAATGGTTCCCGAGGGGAAAAGCCTCTCGGGATGGGGACAACCGAGTGCCGAAGGATGCAGAAATCCGGAGGAGTTTTGAGGCTCTATACGTCCTGCTTCTTCAGCTGCCGTGGCGGCGCTAGCTTCCGTGTCATTGGCCGGAGTGGCAGCGGCAGCGGAGGCTGCTGATGACGACGTAAGGCTTCCCACACCACTGCTGCTCAATTGGGAGCTGGCTGAAGACATACGATCTGAAAATAGACTGTCCCTAGGTCGAGAGAGGGTTGTCTGAATGGATACGAGGGCCCGAGGATGGAGAGAAGAACGTAAAAAGCAATCATTATGGGGGTTGCAAAATGAACTTAAATCAGAAAGAATTCGCTATCGGAACCTGCGTAATTCCGTAAGCAGGATGTCTACATTTAATTGCGTAAGGTGACAATGGACTTTTTTTGCAAAATTCGATGTGTCTCTTGGGGAGGGAAGAAAACAGAGCTCCGGATGAAGGCGATGTCTTTTCGACGCAAATGCCCTTTACAATACAACGCTATCCGAATGAAGGAGCAGGAGACTATTGGGGCCCATTAAATTATTTAGCCCCCAAGTCTACTTGAAATAGCTGTTCCCATTCGCGAGATAGGATCTAAAAGATCTGGAAACAATTTAAGGAGGGTTGTTCATTTTAGATTATTAAGTTATTTAGATAAGAGCCAAATTGCCTTCAGTCTGGACGGCAGCCCACCCTGATTAAGTTTGTTCATACAAACTAAAGAGGGAACTAGGTAAAATGAAAAATATTTATTGATATATCGTGGGCAAAATAAAAATGCAGAATCGAAATCAAGTTGATGTCTCGTCATGCGATTCATTTAAATATTAGTTAGTGCTAGGGAAAACTTCTGGTATAGAAGTTGATTCTTTTTTGTAACTAGACCCGTGGTGGGGCGTCAAATGATAGCAACGAAGACCAATGGTGTATGCAAGTTGGTGAAAAAT